GTAATTACCGTGCATGTCTCCCAATACAAAAAATTATCATAGACTAACGAAATATACTAAATCGTTATTACTAGCGACATATTAAGTCTATTATTAAAATGTTACGAAATACAATTAATAATCTATTGATGTCAATTCAATATTGAACAATAATTATTATTAGTATATCTAAGCAGTTCAACATACCACATACTAGTGATCTCTAACATAAATAAATAAAACTATTCAAACAACATGGATATAAAATCATTTATTCCTAATATGATATTGTGTATTTAGTCATTTTTATAATTTTTTAAAAATTGAATAAGACTTTCGGACAAAGTCGTGTGTCTCGACTCGCTGAATCCCTATGTAGATACACTTGTCACATAAGTGTATCTCTCTTGACTCGTCAGCTACTTAGCGGCCCAGCCATCACGACTTGCAAGCTCTTGGAACAAGATGGACTTGTTTCTTGACATTTATACATTACTCATTAGTCATTTAAGGTTAGCGTAGTAGAAGCCTATAAGGTTATAGTGGGTTTGAGAAATTGGGCCTTTATTTTTGTATTTTTGTATTTATAACCAACTTAAGTATTAATTTTGGGCTTCAAAATTGTAATGGATTTCTACAATATATTAGAATTAAAAGTAATTGTTGAGTAGGGAGTCGGTACGGTATTATACCGGTATACCGCGATATTTGAAAACATTTACCGTTACCGTACCGAAATAGACCGGTACGGTATGATACCGTACCGAAAATGACGGTATACCAATATTTCGGTATTTTCCGGTATTTTTCGATATTTCGGTATTTATGCCCACCCCTACTAGTTGAGTCACCACACCATATAATCGATTTATTGATACTTGATTGTAACGCTGATTTATTCTATTAGTAAATTCTCTTTTCCTCCACACACCAAAAAAAGTGTGTTGATTTTATACTTTTTTATATAAAGGTTAAAATAATGAAATAATTACATACTAACTCCATCGCACTCAACTTAATTTACCAAGTTAATGTTGAGTGTGAAATTAAAATAGTAAAAAGTGTGTGGTTGACATTTGTGTTTGACATTTGTGTAGATGACAGAGAAATGAGTAGAGCCACAAGTTCATCGTTTTAACAAGAAAATGACAAAGTTTTTTTTGGACAAAAAAAAAAAGAAAAGTTGGAAAAGTTATATATGCAACAAAAATAAAAAAATTTCACAAAACTATATATGACCTTCTTAATATAATATCTATTGCACTAACTTTAGTCAAACAATTTATATTCATTTTTTACACTTAGGTAGGTGACTATGAGACTATATTATTGTAGCTATTTTCATTTGAGAAGCAGTTTTTAAAGAATCTCTTATTGGATGGATTTGAAGTATGAAAAGGTGTATCTGGACTTTTTATGTAATAAAAATGACATTAAATGGACATGGAGGAAATCAGATAAGGATGCACATGAATCGAATTAACTATGTATTTACGTAAAAGATCTTAAATTAAACATTGAAAATATTTAATATCCAATCCGGAATTTAATTATTTAGTTTGATTTACAAATATCATGCTATTAATTCTTCATAATGAATAACCACGGAATTGAATATAATTGAAAGACGTATGTACTCAATGAAGAGTCTTCTCCAGCAATAATTTCTTTTATATATACACAGAATAGTAACGTTCAAGTTAATTTGTTGAATAAAAATGGTCACAAAACACTTAAGTTGATCAGTGATAAAGAATAGAAAATGTCATCGGCGAAGGCCCGACAATTTAGTCCACCAGAACGAAGAGCTCATTCTTCTTCTCCAGTTCCTTCTTTCTGCATAAATGATTATCAGTTAACTGGCATCATCCTTGCAATAATTGTATTCATTTTAATTTACTTCTTGGTGAAAAATATATATAAGATGCGTAGAGACACAACATAATTAACTCTCATCGGATTGGGTGGAGCGTATATATTGTTACGTTAGTATATATATAGCGTAGTATTCAACTTTCGATGAATTGAAATTGCAATCTAGCTACCAATTTTTAGTGTTTTATATGAATGTATATGTAGTGTTTTTATAGAAGAAGCATAGTGTTATTCGTGTTCTTTATATATATAACCAGTCAATCTAATAATATATGGAGTACTACGTACTAAGTCTAAGAGTTTCAAACATCTTTAACTTTTGAGATCTATGTAAATAATACTAGTAATTATCACTTTAATTTTGCGCACCCTTAATTCATTTTATTGGTTGTAACTTGTAGTTAGGAATGTCATCATATTTTTATATAGGAGTAGTAACTAAATAATGTTGCTTTTTGACTGCCTTAATTAGAGGATGAAAAGGCTAAGCATCCGGACCCCTAAGCACACAATGTCAATTCATTCCCTTGTACATTCTCAAATTTGACATATGGAGTATCAAATAAGAACAATACAACTTACTTGTTTGTGATTGTCTTGAGTGGAGAACAAAAAGAAATACAGAAATTCACAAAGCAGTATTAAAGTGTGGAAATAAAATGAATTAGTCATATCCTAACTACTATTCATGATTAATAAGTCATATCACTTTAATTTTGCGCATCCTTAATTCATTTTATTGGTTAAGAAAGTCATCATATTTTTGATTGGTTTTATTTCATATATTAACTAAATAATTAGAGGATCGAAAGGCGGCTAAGCACCCGGACCCCCGAAGCACACAATGTCAATTCATTCCCTTGTACATTCTCAAAGTTTGACATATCAACCAAGAATAATACTTGGAGCCCGTTTGGTAGCACCAAAATCGGCTGTTTTGGCTGATTCTGCTGAAATTTATGATATTCTGGCTGGAGTGGCTGTTTTGGCTGATTCTGCTGATTTAAGAAAAAAATATTTTAAAAATATATTTTATTAATAAATTAAAGAAAAAATTATATGTAAAAATAGCTAAAATGGTCCTCTACAGTAACTTCAGCCAATACAGCCAGAAAAGTAACTCCAACCTTACTTTTTCGGCTTATTACACAATTCAGCGCGCGAAAGTAAAAGTTACGTGTTTGGTGAAAAAACTGGCTGATAAGCCTGATAAGCCGAAAACAGAGTTCTCCAAACGGGCTCTTGGTTGTGGTTGTGTTGAGTGGAGAACAAAAAGAAATAAAGAAAATGGCAAATTAGTACTTGCAAAGTGATTTTTTAATAGTAGAAAGGGGCTAGATCCAATGGAATGGATGAATTAATTGTAGTAAATTTGTTTGATCATAAAAGTTGTTACTTTCATAAATAAACTACAAGCAAATATTTTCAATCAATTCTTCATATATGTTTTGATTTATCCGCCTTCATGTCTTTTAAAATATGAGCCTTTTTGTTAAAATTGAAATTGCTTAAATTGAATGGATCCACTTTATTTGGTGAAATTTTGTAAATTATCGAAGTGATAATTCTGCTTGATATATATTTTATTGTTGAAATAAAAGAAACAATATTTGAAAGAAAAAAATCACTATGAGGAAATTCAATTAAAAAAGTTTTTACAACCTACGGTGAATGGATTTGCTTCTTCAAACACAAGAGAATTCCTAACACCTCTTATTTGGATCTTTAAAAGAAAACTAACTTTTTTGATACATTAAGTAATTATGAGGGAAATTTAAACTGATTTTGAGGCCATTAAGGTTTCCAATTCTGAAACATTTAAACATTTGAACACATTTTTGCAAAACAAAAAATAACATCACAGATTTTTAATACAATACCAACAATTTTATACTCCGTACATGGGATAATTACATACTCTATCTCTATACAAGTTTCGTTTCTATGCCTCTATAACCTGAAAATATGAGCTATCTAGTCGGTAGATGAAATCTATTAGTATAGGATTGAATGGTTGGAAAATATGAATATCCGACCCATATATAATTGATTCGGTCTTAATAATGTCATGGAAGGATTCTTTCAACAGTGAGATCAGCTAAATTTTAACTTCTTGCGGGAAATTTCTCAAAGCATGTAAATAAGATAACTAGATAAGACCAAGAATGGAGTCAAATTGTCAGACAAAAATCATGAACAATCAATGATAAAGAATGGTGTGAAGCAATAATTTTTGAAACACATTCCCAGATTGGGTTGTGAGAATCAGCTACCACAGCATATGTCATGTCAGAAGCTCCAGCTGCTGCCGATGTGCTGCTCTCCAGAAGGGTTCAGGAAATGGTCATCAATGGCGAGGAGCCATCAGGGCCGTATATTTGCAGAGGTGGGGAAGAAGAAGAAGAAGAAGATGAGCCCTGCAGTAATACTTCTGACATTCCCACCATTGATTTAAGCAGTTTTTTGAACCACGGAGAGACCGATCAGACAGAAGAACTAGACAAACTCAGATCAGCCCTCTCGTCATGGGGTCTTTTTCAAGTTACATCACATCCCTTCTTCTCTCAAGTTCATATCATATATACATAAAGAGTATATCTTTGGCCTTACCAGTGTCACTAACCAGATTTCATATAAAAATTAATAATTTGTTTATCTTTGAACATTGAATTTGTAAAAATAGAAAAAAGAGAAGTGAAGTAGCTTTTTTGGCTAAATGTATTCTAGAAATATTGAGTTTGCTGAATATCATGATTTTAGTTTTTGATCAGTATGTTTTTACACTTGCTTTTTTAGAAAAATGTTCAATATAGTGTTTGATAAATTCTTACTTGGCCATGACTTCTAGTTTTTAGTAGATTCAATCATTTTCAACAATATGTCTTGCTGAACTTCTAGTTTTTTTTACATAGGAAAAACCTCCAAACTTAGAGCTTGGCAACTCTTACCTGGTATTACTAAAAAAGTTATTAGATTATTTTGTTGTTTGTTATCATCACCATCATCATTTCAAAGATTAGATTGTTGTTTTGTTGTTAATTACAATACCTGGAATCATCATCATCATCATTTCAAAGATTAGATTGTTTTGTTGTTTGTTAACAGATTCTTGTTATTTCCTTTTCTGTTACTGTGATTAATTTCAGGCAATAGGACATGGGATGTGTACCTCTTTTCTAGATAAGGTACTACAAGTTTCAAGGGGATTCTTTGAACAACCAATGGAAGAGAAAATGAAGTATGCCAAAGGGCTAAATGACTTTGAAGGTTATGGAGCTGACCCCCCTCCTCAGGAGGGACAACCACTTGATTGGTCTGATCGCCTCTATCTCAATGTTCACCCTCAAGATATGAAAAACTATAATTTTTGGCCGAAAAATCCAGACTCTTTTCGGTAAGTAATTCGGCACCACTCTTATTTGGGATATTGAAAGATTTTCCGATTCCGCAAGATGGTAGTTCACTGGCAGTTATAGTAGATCAATTTTTAAATCTACTCTTGATAAACTTTAGTCAAACTGGTTTCACATTTAGCTTTACAAACAGAGACTCTCTTATATCTCAAAGAGATCAACCCGACTAGACAAACAGAGACTCTCTTATATCTCAAAGAGATCAACCCGACTCGATGAGTGGACGTAGTCTAAGACTAAATATGTGAGATATGAACACACCTTGAGTTATAAAAGTCAAACTTGATATATGATGTTATATCGCATGCAGTCAAACCTGACTACATTCGAGTTATACTGTTATATTTTATATATTTGGTTATTATGATTTTACGTTAAGCTTTCAATGCAGACAAGTAGTGGAAGAGTACACGGACAAGATCAAAATGGTGATCGAAATGACCTCAAAAGCCATGGCAAGATCACTAAATTTGGAAGAAAGTTGCTTCCACAGACAGTTTGGTGAGAGATCACAACTGAGTGTAAGGTTCAACTACTATTCACCATGCCAAAGGCCAGATCTTGTTCTTGGCCTAAAGCCCCACTCAGATGGGTCAGGCTACACAGTAATCATACAAGATGAAGCAGGGCTCCAAGTTCTCAAGAATGACAAATGGTTCACTGTTCCTAAAAACCCGCATGCCATCCTGGTTATAATGGGTGATCAAATGGAGGTAAATCATTTTTTTTTTGGGTTTAGTTTTATACTTCCATGCCCATTATTTTTTCTTCTTGTTGCCATATATGCACTGTATGTGATTTTTCAGATAATGACTAATGGGATATTCAAGAGCCCAGTTCATAGGGTTTTGAGCAGTTCAGAGAGGGACAGAATATCTGTAGCTATGTTTTATATACCTGAAACCGGGAAAGAGATTGGACCAGAAGAGGGGCTACTAGATGAAAAACAAAGAGTTTACAAGAATGTCAAAGATTATGGAGATCTTTATTTGGAAAACTACCGAAGTGGGAAGGGCATAAGACCATTGTTGCACATAGCAAATGTCTAGATCGATGCTGCTAATAAGCACTATCAATATGCATCCATAGTTGTCTGCTAATAAAATTGATAAGGCCCCCTAATAATGGTTTAATTTTCTCATACCATATCATACAATGTCCAACTTTGTCTCACATTATTTGGAGCCCCCCCATATCCAATTAATACGTACTCTTTTCTCTCTCACTTAATAAGATACATATTCATCTTTAAGATACAAATTCATTTTCTGATTTCAATTGTGTTGAAAGTATAAAAGTACAAGTGAAAATGTCTTCTAGTCTGATCTATCTGTTTGGATCTTGTTCAATCTGTTTAAGTCATCTATTCTGTGCTGATTTATGTCCAACAGAACAAAAATTTAATCCCTACCATATACGGCCTGATATTTAAATAGTACTCGGTAGTCGGTAGTATTAATAGTAGACATTCAAAGTTCTGTTGATATTGTAAACTTAAAATATCAATCAATAAATTTGATTCATTGGTCACATAAGGTTTTGAATGATGTTGCAGATAATGAGTAATGGGATATTCAAGAGCCCAGTTCATAGGGTTTTGAGCAGTTCAGAGAGGGATAGAATATCAGTAGCTGTATTCTATACACCTGAAATAGGAACAAAAATTGGACCAGAAAAGGGGTTATTTTTTAATGATGAAGAACGAAGGGTTTACAAGAGGGTGAAAGATTATGCAGATCTTCATTGGGAAAATTTCCAAAGCGGGAAGGGGATGAGAGCATTGCTCCACATAGCACATGTCTAGAAACTCTACTACTAATAACTTTTATCCATGGTTGTTTGCTAAAACTAATAAGGTCCCAATTATTTATCAATGGTTAAAATTGTATGTATAGAACTGTAAATTATAATGCTATGTATGTATGTTCCAGTCACATATCTCAAGTTCACTCACAAATTGAACTTTTAGGTTAAATGGTGTGCTTTTGTGCATATGTTCTCTTATAATCTCTCATATTTTTGAACGTCTCTCATTATTTACCATAGAACATAAAACTATGTTAATAGAATTTTTTTGACATTTTATTTGAGTAATCTTGGTATAGTCGTTCTCATTCTGTTTATCTCCTCCATTTCAACATCAATTGTTTTTTATATTTACCTTACTGTACATTGTAACGTCTATTTCATAGTCTCTCTTTAATCAAGTATTTGATCCAAAAGAATAATCATGGGTTAAATATGTACAAACTCGCATGAGATTGACATATATTGGCATTTCTTCTAGACCTCTAACTTTCAAGGTTGAAAATGGTATCCCTCATACCCTCCAATTTTTCTTGTTTCAAACCTTGTCTCCTCGTTGCAAAATTAAAATTTCCGATCGTTGAAAATTTATTACATCTTCTTAATCGGGTGTTATATACAATCATGTCCCTAATTATAATTGTTCACTGATTATACACAATCATGAATCTCTCCTCCCCCTCCCCCTGCAATGTATTCTTTCCATTGTGGACATAGTCATCCTCTGAACTATCATCCACAATGCCGTGACAACTTCCTCATCATCAAGAGGCATAAGCATGTTTGATCCCCGTGAAGGGGATATTTCACCTGCACTTGCAAAGAATGGCTCGGAGGAATCTGTGTAACTGCATATAATTTTTTGCAGCATCTCACGCATACAAGCGCCACGAGAAACGATAAACATCCGTCTCTTACCACCTTCATAGCGTATACCCCCTGCTTCCTCAAATAATTTCCCTTCCCAATGACAAATTATTGGGAGTTGGAGAAATCCATATTCTAATAACAATACATGATGATAATTGATGAGTACACATTATTATACACACTTTATACACTCAAATTCAACATTTAATAGACATAACAACGTATTAAAAAACTCTAATATTTCAGAAATTCTATTAGATATACCACACTTAACAAAATCAAAATATTAGATTTTTCAAATAAAAAAATCAAAATATTACTTTCAAATTGACATTACACAAGAAATCGACACCAACATCAAAATATTAAATTGAATTCAACATTAAAATTCAACATTTCATACATATACACATTTCACAACAAACCAATTCACAAATCAATTCCTAATCTAAAAATTCTAAATTTATACATTCTAAACCCTAACTTGAAATATGAGATGAAATGAAGTTTGATTTACCTAGAAAAAAAGTGTTGAAGAAGATGAAGGTGAAGGGGAGGAGCTCGAAGATGGAGACCGGTCTCGCCTTGCCTTGCAGTCGCCGGAGATGGGATCTCGAACAAGGTTTTGTTGCGAAGGTTTTTTTTGGGGTGGGAGGGAACTGAACTGCGTTCTATCTGCGTTCTGCCCGATCCGTCTATCTGTTTAAAGGAAAGTCACCAAACCATTTGGCGACTCTCCTAACCCTGGTTGAGCCAGCAGTAGATCGGTAAATACTTTTAACCCAACATTATTTCGATAATTATTTATTTAATCCGCATTAATTCGGAAAAAAACTCTAAATTTAGTGTAAAACAGAAAAAAAAAATATAAATTTATTGATTAAATGTGTAAGTGATAAAGTTTTTGGATAAAAAGGGAAAAAACCAAATTTTAAGGACAAGAGAGTACAGAATGATGGAGCTTGCTACTTATATACTTTTTTGTACTTTTTGTTGTACACACTGCCCATGTACACATGAGTTTCTGAATGAATTGTCTATGTATATAGACAACAAGAGAAGTGTGTATAACAAAAATGTACACTGGCATTTTCCCAGAATGAAAGGCTTATGAAAGTATGAAACTTATCTTTCAACACAAACCGGAATCATAAATCAACAAGTACTATAAAGATAAAGACTGACAGGGATTGGATAAAGCAAGAACCTTTAGGCTTTACCTGCCAACGATAATTCCAAAGTCAACCACTTTATACGCACTCCCTCCCTTGTGATAAGACTCGCAGACGGAGTAGGAAGCTTAGCTATCCACGCCGGAGAATGTCTGAGCAGCAGCAAGCAGTGTTCATCGGCTCAATTGATCAGGGCACAACCAGCACCCGTTTCATCATCTACGACCGTTCCGCCCGACCCGTCGGATCCCACCAGATCGAGTTCACCCAGTTCTACCCTCAACCCGGGTAACCCATTTCTACATTCAAATTTCTTTCCTTTTCAATCATTCAAAGCTCAACGTCTACTGTTGGTTGGTTTCGGGTGCAGATGGGTGGAGCATGATCCGGTGGAGATTCTCGAGAGTGTGAAGATCTGTATTGCTAAGGCCGTCGACAAGGCCACCGCCGATGGCCACAACATAGACGGCGGCCTCAAAGCCGTGGGTCTCACCAATCAGAGAGAGACCACCGTGGTGTGGAGCAAATCCACCGGCCTTCCTCTCTACAATGCCATTGTTTGGATGGACGCCCGTACTACTTCCATTTGCAGGTCTTCCTTCCCCTCTACAATCCATTTAATTTATTATTTAAATTTTGTGGCTTGATTTGTTATTCGTGATTACATTTGTAAAACTTGGAGTATAAACAAAAACGACAAAGGGCCTACTTGGAACTCTGTAAAAATTGGGGAAAGAAAATAGAGAGGAAATTATAGAATAAAGTTGGAAGGAAAGAAAATGTAAGGAAGATAAGGTATTGGTTAAACAATAAGTTAATGTTTATTAAATATTAAAATTTGTGTTTTTTAAAATCCATTTCTATTGTTTGATCATGAAATCTAAAGATATGTAAAGAGTTTGAAATTATAATCATATTTCATTTTCTTTTGCATTTTCTGAGGTAAAACCAATCATATTTTTTTTTAAATAACTTTCTTTAGCACTTAACAAAATCCAAACAAGCCAAAATGATGGGGATTTCACTTCTGAATCTGATAAATTATTATATGTAAACACGGACAAAGTTCTATTCAAGTTTGACTTGCCTTCATGTTTATCAAGGTAAGCTAAACAGAGAACTCCCATTTTCATTTGCATTTTTTTCCTTTTCTCCATCAATTTCGGGTTCAAACAAGTCCAAGAGATGAGATTTATCTGTTTTCGTTGTTTGTATGTGCCTGTAGATACTTTGGTGAGGCCGCACTATTGCTTTACGATTCTTTCTCTTGGTATACATTTACGTTTTCTCAAATTTTTGTTTTTTCTCAACTTGGGATTGAGTAAAACTTCTTACCTGATCAGGAAATTGGAGAAGGAATTACCTGGTGGGAGAACTCATTTTGTTGAGACATGTGGACTGCCTATAAGCACCTACTTCAGTGCCATGAAGCTGTTGTGGCTGTTGGAGAACGTGGATGCTGTCAAGGAATCCGTAAAGAAAGGGGATGCCCTTTTTGGGACGGTCGACACTTGGATAATTTGGAATATGACTGGAGGAGTGGACAAAGGGCTCCACGTCACCGATGTGTCCAATGCATCAAGAACCATGTTAATGAACCTCAAAACTCTTGATTGGGACAAGCCAACACTTGACCTATTGGGAATTCCTAGTGAGATTTTGCCCAAAATCGTTAGCAACTCTGAAATCATAGGGAACATTGCCCAGGGATGGCCAATCACAGATATCCCAATATCGGGTTGCCTTGGGGACCAACACGCTGCAATGGTGGGCCAGGCTTGCCGAAGAGGTGAAGCAAAGAGCACATACGGAACAGGTGCGTTCATACTCCTTAACACCGGTGAGGAGGCGATCAAGTCAAACCATGGACTTTTAAGCACTTTGGCTTATAAGCTGGGACCAAACGCTCCAGCAAATTATGCCTTGGAGGGCTCGATTGCCATAGCTGGAGCAGCTGTCCAGTGGCTTAGGGATAGTCTGAATATAATCAGCAGCGCTAGTGAGATTGAGGAGTTGGCATCAAAGGTTGATTCGAGTGGGGGAGTTTATTTCGTGCCGGCTTTTAATGGGCTGTTTGCGCCATGGTGGAGGGATGATGCTAGGGGAATTTGTATTGGGATCACAAGGTTCACAAACAAGTCCCACATTGCTAGAGCTGTTCTTGAGAGTATGTGTTTTCAAGTTAGGGATGTTTTAGAGTCAATGCATAAGGATGCCGGGGAAAAGGGGGAGGTTAAGAATGATTTGGGGGAATTCGTACTTAGGGTTGATGGTGGGGCCACTGTTAACAATCTTCTGATGCAGATACAGGTACACACTCTCCCACTCAACAAACACACACACTCACACACAATCTAACCTCTGAAGGTTCATGTGGAACTTGACAAGTCCAAGGGAATGAAAATAAGGAGGAAATTATAGAGCGGAAATTAACAAGGATAGAAAATGTGATGGAAAATATTGTTTTTTCTTTATAGTTTAAATTGAAGGTGTGGGAGACAGTCTCTCTGTGCTTTAGCACAGGGTAAGACTGCGTACATCCAACCCCCCTTACCCCACCGAAGGTGTGGGAGCCTTTGCGGCACTGGGGTAATGATGATGATGAGTTTAAATTGAAGGACTTTAAACTGAATGCACAGTATTTGTGAAAACTCCTTTTATAAAATATTTATAATATTAAATAAAGATTCGGAAATGAAACACATTTATAAAAACTCAAAAATAATTGTCTTTGCATTTTTTTTGTTGAAAAACCAGACACAAGAAAACATAAACCAAGTTAGTCTTTTTTATCAGGACCTGTTGTCAAAAAAATCTTGGAGCTCAATATGGTGATTTCTTCAATTTTATTTTCAGTATCCGTTTTCCCTGGTTTCCTTGCTCAAGTGTTGAGGTTTGAAAGCCAGTGGGTGTTGTGGAGAGAGGGAACTAGTGGGTTCAGGACCTGAGTCGCCAAATTATAGAGGACCTAACAACCTTTTCAGATCTTGTATCATAATGGTTTTTTGGCACAACACAAACAAATTTCTGAGGTAGCTATTAAGAGCCCGTTAAGGCTTAACTGAAGGGGCTGAATGTGCTTATATTGATGTTGATGGTTGAATACTTGAATTGGTTAAATGGTTACCTTAAACACCTTTAACTGTTTCAACAACAGAAAAGACCCCCGGCATTTTATCGCATTATTAACGGAATAGACATTCAGAAGAAAAGGGAAAAAATGTCCAAAAATCAGGTTGTTAAGACGGAGAGATTGAAAAATGGCTACCCAGAGGCCACTAAATTACTTTAAAAGAAAAATGTGTCTTCTTGTTTCTAAGTTAGTCATTCAGCTACTTCTGCAACATGGCAAATTCCAATATTAAGATCAGTCAGCTCCATTAGCTTCTCGATTTACTTGTCCAGACATGGTCTGTCCCACAGTATCAGCATTAAATAAATTGTTCTGGTATGTAAATTCCTGTTTGCATGATTTTGTAGGCAGATTTGCTAGGCAGTCCAGTGGTGAGGCCAGCGGATATAGAGACGACAGCCCTTGGGGCTGCGTTAGCTGCCGGATTAGCTATTGGAGTCTGGACAGAAAGTGAAATATTTTCATCCGGCGAGAGAAAGGAAAAATCTGCCATTTTCCATTCAGTGATTGATGATGAACTGAGGAAGAAGAAGGTGGATTCTTGGTGCAAAGCTGTCACTAGAAGTTTTGATTTGGCCGATCTATCTTTGTAATTAAAAGTTCTCTATTTTTTACTCCGTAACATTCTTATCTAATTTATATAAGTAATAAAATACTGCTGCTGCATGTATTTCCAGAAGCAAAAGATGCCTCTTGATCCATAATTTGTTGTTATATATTAATCGAGGGCCAAGGGAAATACATGTAGTAGCCATTGGTTCAGAATCTTCAAATTTACACATTCAAGTATCTAATTTCAGAAATATTTGGAATTTACTCTGCTAATCTTTCCTGCTATAATCAGCTTTATGGTGGATAATTGGATAACCATGCAGCTGAAGGAAAGAAAGAAAAAAGTGTAATACGGAGTACTACGTATGAATCTATAAACTCAATTGCAATATTTGGCAGTATTTTTTACTTGAAACTGTGGGAACTCTTCTGGTCTTATGTACACGCCAAGTAAAGTATTATATCTAAGAATCCAACAGTAATGTTATCTACTTAACAAAAAAAGGTAATTATTCAAACTAGACAAACAATTGAAGTTCCTACAAGTTCCATGCTGATCAAAAAAATACTCCCAAGGCATCAACTACTTTTTCAGGCCTGCATATAGGGAAATAAACGTTGTTACAGTTTTCATCCACATCAAAAAGTCAAATACACACATCCAAAGCAGCATTTAAAATTACCAGTCTTCTTGCGGCATATGGCCTGCACCTTCAATCAGTTTAAGCCTGACAAATTCGGGGTTTCCCTTTTGAAACTCTTCAGCCACTGATTGCGGAAGATACTTATCTGATATTCCCCATGCCAGTAGAGTTGGTTTATCCCACCTGAAATAAGACAATTCCAAATCACAATTTCTAAAAGCGGTTTGTTACAAATATGTAAATACTAATATATTCATTCATTCATCTCGACTTAACATATGTCTTCTATCTTATCTTATTTGTAGTATAAGAAGAATAAAATTCTCTTTTCTTTTAAAATTCTCTTTTCTTAAAACAAAAAAGAATGTCAACAGGGGCATAGCTGGGGGATACTAGGCCCCGCCCCGTCCCAAATATTTAAAATGTTTTAAACTTATGTGTAAAAATAGTATAAAAATTTATCAGAAAGATTATCTGTATCAGGTGATCAGCCCAACCTGATATACCCTCTTGACTACACAACCGAATGTTAGTATTACCTTCCAGAGGCAAAACCATATAATATTTGGCTATGGGTGTCCTTGAAATTAGCTCTCTTTGCCGCATCAAGCAAAGCTGAAGCTCACGATATTGTTGTCAGTCCACAAAGAAATCCATAGTTAAAATATAAAGGTATATAAATATCTTATCTCATGTCACTCATGTGAGATAGTCACAGCTAGATAACCTATGATTGAATTTTCCACCCCAAAGAATGGGAATAACTAAAAATCTAATTACAAGTTATGTTAGCGTGCACAGATGAACAACTAGGGCAAATTGAAACTTAATGGAGAAGTAATAGTACAGATGGTGGGAGTTACCAAAACCCGGACCACTGCTTGACAAATATGGTAACCTGTACACATCAGCCTTCTCCAGTTTTAGAACATAACTGCAATCAAATTTATCTTTTAGTCTCTGTGATTATGTAACAGAGTATAATAAGTGATGAATACAAAAATGCTGAAATACAATAAGATAATAGAGGCTAATAGGCTATTACAGTATTACTAGTAAAAAAACAAAATTAACAACTTTACTAGACAAAGTTAAAGAAAGGACTTTTAGGCATTTTCAGCCAGAAGTCGTCAATATTAAAGGATTGTTACTTTAGGTTGAAGCAGTGATCTGGAAAGCCTCCGCTAAGAATTTAAAAAGAAAAATACGAAAGATATTGTTGTTGATACATACGGGCTGCCTGCTTCGATAAAACGCTCTGCCATTATTGCATTCTGGCAGGTAAACTCACCAAAAAATGGAATTCTAGCTCAAAAAGAATGAAGAGGATATAAATGTTAGCAGATATGAGAAAAGCAAATCAGACACATAATAAGCAGAGTCCATGTTCACATTGGCCAACGCAATGGGATGTCCATACTTCTTGTACTCCCACAACCATTAGGTGTTTATATTAGCGTGATGTGTTGAATTGTTAACCTTGTTTTTATAAAACACTTGTTTTTGTTTCTTTGGGCTTAAACTCATATGACTAGAAAAGATAGAGTGCATAATGAAGAAATTCCTGGGTCTCTGGGAGAATGGGGCCATGCGGGGATATTGAAGATAAACTGAGGGAGAGAAACAGGGTAGACCAAAACTGACTTGGACTAAAGGTGTCAAAAGGCACATGAGAGCATTGGGCTTTATTGAACATATGGTGCATGAGAGGAAAGGGTGGGAAAAAAGTTCTTGATTGTGGGGGGTTTTAGTTGTTGTCGTACTCGTATGCATATGTTTACAGAAAACAAAGCTATACTGAAAATTCATTAACTAAGGAACACAAATATATAAAAACCCAATACTTCAAAAAATGGTGAACAACACATTTAAAATGCTTGCTAGGAACCTATGTGAAGCACCAAATGTAACATTCTTTCAGTTTTATACTTTCACAAGTACAATGCACATAAGATTTACAAATCAATTGTTCATTTGCAGCTTGTAGTACCATCCAGATTGACTTGATGTATAACAAGTAGATTATCAGTCTGAACTCTGAAGAGATCCAAGTTTTTGGGAGTATTAATCAACAAAAAATTCTAATTATGCTCTCTCATGCCTATAATATATGTGATGGAAGATGATATCACAATCTTCATATATATGTAAGAGGAACAGCTAGGTTGAAGTCCTGGGAAATAATTAAATAAGAAATTACTGCAAATAGGAGTAAAATATACATAAATTACACAAATAGAAGTAGCTATGTTTTATTCCCATAATAGGACTTATGTGATTCTATTATAAGAATATAACTTCCCCAAAATAGGGCTAATTTGTGCACTTTGTCCATGTTTTGCTACTATTTAAGGAATTCTCTCATAATTAAAAAGGGCAAATATTTGTCTCTGTGGTTTTTCCAAATGCAGGGCACCAGTAAAAAATACTATTTTGACCAGCAGGATGACATTCAATTGAAAGAAGACAAATGTAATCTCAGTAAAGCTTTCAAGTTATAATCCTATGTTTCTATGATTCAATGTAAAATACATGTCTGATTGCATAAGATCTCAGCTAAAACTTTGGTGAACTTCACTGACTGATAAAACTTTGTGAACTTCAAAATAAAAGAAAATTGAACAGCATAAAGGAAACCTGAGTTGTTTAAAAAGCCAAGGAATGGGAGATGAAGGTGTCAACGGACTGTTGAGAATCACAAGTTTTGATACTTTACTGGAGTTTTTAAGGGTCCAAGTTAATCCATATGATCCTACAAGGAATCCCTACAAGAAAGTTATCACAACCAAAGTTCAAGGCAATATATCCCTTTAAAAATTACTATCACAAGAACTCATCAGGTTAATACGTAAAAATTGAAGTTCTTAAGGTGTCGTGAACATGATATTCCCTCTGCCCCAAAAAGAAGTCATATTTCAAACACTTCTTTTGTCCTAAAAAGAAGTCCACTTTGATAAATCTAAGATATGTTTTCATGTAATATGTCAAAAACGAGTCCCAAATAAGTTACATATGCAGTATTTAGTTAAACCAACATTAAATTTTAAAAGTTTAAGAATGATTCATCATTTATGAGGGTTGTACAATTTCAAAATTAGATAATTGAGCAAGGTCAACCAGCACTCTTTTTGAATGGAAGTAATAGTTCTTTAATTCTTCATCACATAATCAATGATTCAGGCCAATGAACAGGGATTAACTGCAAACCCGTGGTAGGTTCATACCTGGACTACAAGGTAAAAAGGGGATGTAATTCCAAGAACATCAAGTAACTTATCAAATTGTTCATGGAATTCTTTCTCTGCCATAATTTATTTCATCCATAAGTCAAGATATCTGCTTGGTAAAGCCATATTGTGAAACATTGTACATCATTAGATTTAGGATGGGGCATAAAGTGCAATGTAACTAACCAGTGTAGTCAAAACCATATCCTGACTGTGGCTTGTCACTAAACCCAAAACCAATCCAGTCAGGTGCAAAGCAGTGGAATCCATAATCTGCCATCTATTCAAAGAGGTTATGCTGGGGAGAATCCAACACATTAGAATGAGATGAAATGTATTAATAAAAAAATATAAAGGGTTAATGGACTCTCAATAAAGAAGGCATTACAGCAGCAAGGAAAAGGTGCCGCCTTTTCCAAATTTTACTTAGGCTGATAGTTCAAAGTACTGTAGCTATGTTTGGATCCCACAAAAATGCTAGAGAAGAAAGGAAAGAAAATGCTATGGGATGTCATTTCTTCTCATGTTTTGTAGAAATGAAACGGAAAATGGAATACTATCAAGGTTTCTGAATCTTTTACTTAAGTTTAGATTTTTTAGTATGTGTCATAGAAGTAAGTTTCAGAAACAATTCTGAAAAAATAAAAACGTATATTCCATGAGTTCAAAGCAATGTTTTATTTTCTACTTCATTTTCCTTCCTTCCAAAATCCCTCTATAATTTCCTCCATATTTTCTTTCCATGACATTCTCAGCGTTCCGAACCGACCCTAACAGTTAAAAAATTCTTGAAACCTGAGACATAACCACTCGATAGCTGTAAGATTGAGTTGGAGCACCATGGAGATAGACTATTGTTCCACGCGTGCTTCCAGACGATCCTGCAATTACAGAAACTCTTAAGATTGCAATGCATGTTTATTGTTCCCAAAGAAATTTTTCAAATCTCCTCATTTAACCGTCCAAAAAAGCATTGACATTTCCTTCTAAGTTAGTAACTTGTGATTCATATTATTTTTCTCTAGTCTATACAAAATTCAATCACACGCTATACAACATATGACACATAATAAAAATGCAGTCACGAATTAGTAATTTAAATCAACCCAAAGCCGGATTGGAAACTCGACTCTTGAGACCATGGAAAAAATGTATACCTGTTTCTCTAACAAACCACTGGAATCCACCGGATTCGACATATGATCCGTACTCTCTTCCCAAATTTTCTATTCTCTGCATAAGCATGTACAAACAGTGAGAACTGAGAAGTAGTGCCAGTGAGGCAGTGATCACTGAAACTTCTCTAGTGTACTGTCAGCTCTGAAATGTCAAAATGGGGTGAGTTTGCATTACGTAGAGCATTTGGCCGACGTTTCCG